GGGGGGGTTCTATAACGAATGTATAAAGAAGTTTGTCGTTTTTGCTCTTTCTTTCCTATCAAAAATCTTTCGTCCTCAAATCTCGTCTTCCTTTATTTGCAGGTTACTCTCTAGTAACCACTTTCATCGTTGACGCTCATCTATATTATATTTGTAAAAGTTCGTCACATTGGTCGCTTAAAACGTCCGAACCACTTCACTTTCGAATTTGAAAAAAAAAATTACGGTTGTTCAGAATCATTTAAAGGGTGCACAGTTATATCAAGGAGTGTGACGTCACTGTAGTTTAATTTTCAGTTTTTCATTAGTTTTGTTTAGATCTAATCTTTAAAAAGTCCATCTTCTAAGAGGCCTTTGTAAACAAGTGTAGCTTCCGTTCACATGCAGTGCGCACTGGTCCCACAATAATATAACGATCGATTCTTTTGAGTCCGTTCATAGAACGGGGTACCCAGCTAGTATGGCCTGTTCGCGTTGTATGTGACGTAAAACTCTAACTGAACCTAAACTAAAACAAATGTTTCTTTCGTCCAACCGAGTCGCCACCATAAACCACAGCCGAGCAGAAAGCAACAGCGTTCTAAAGTCCATGGGGCGTTCAACAACTTGTGAAAAGTAGACCTTCTTTATAGCCCGAGAGCAATAAACGAACGGGGTCGTGGCAAATCCCACCATAAGCCACATCTGGGCATTTTGGGAAAAACCTCGCCCAATCCATATTCTTATGGTACGAATTGTCGTGAAGATTCTATCGAAGTACATGTATATTTTTATCTCAAAATTACCGCTATCCTTCGACATCTAGGAATAATAAGGATCGTTTCATTTGTGAGGCAGTGTAGTGGAATCAGGCTTTCGTCAAAATAATCAAAGTGAAGAAATGCGCATTTTTCCGCAGGTTTGTGAATTTTTATCAAATTTATGTTTTTTGGCCCAACACCTTTCATGTTTTCAAAATAATACGTTTTTGCTTTCTCCCATTGTCTCAGTTTTATAGTAAATTGATTAAGTTTGTTTCTACTTTTGTTTTAAGAGAATAAGTTGGGTTTTTTTGCCCCAATACTTCTCAGTTTTCGTTGTAAATGGATGTAAAGCGTTTTGTCTTTGTTGAGCTCTTCAACTCTCCCGCTACTTCAAACGTGGAGAAGCGAAGAGCAACAGAATACATACGCAGCTTTCCACAACATGGACGTAGTGTGCTCTTGAACCTCACTGCACTGTTTGGCACAAGATATTCGGAGACGTCTCCGGCGTGCACCCCGGAACTATTCGGAGACGCACTTCCGCACACAGATGCACTGCGTATAGTTTGCTTGCAGATCACATGTTTAGCCACTAAAACTGTCGCAAATCAATTATATTCAAGAAAATGTCAAACCTAAATACAATTTAAAAAATATTAAATTATGGAATAAAACAGCCCCCTCCCCCCTTGTCTAGAGGCACAAAGCATTTTTGATTGCTCTATCTCCGTCAGAGACGTCTCCGAATAGATACTGCGCACTGTTGGCTCTACCAATGGCCGGGACCTTTACGAGGTGCTGAAAGTGCCATTTGCCCGTCTATTTCTCACTGGGGTTAACTCGTGCTGGCCGAGGTCAATAAATGTCCGCGCTTCCTGATAGTAATGGGTATCTGTCTCTCTTCCTGTGGCTTCTTTTTTTTTTGG